TGTGTGCGTGCGTGCGTGCGTGCGTGCGTGCGTGCGCGCGTGCGTGAATAGAAATATTGCGAGAGGTAGCGAGTGTGTGTGCGCGCGCGCGCGCGTGTGTGTGTCTGTGTGTGTGTGTGTGTGTGTGTGTGTGAGGGTGAGAGAGGGTGAGAGTCACGGAGAGGGAGAGGGTGATCGGGAAGGCGAGAGAAGTAACTATATTAGAAGGAATATGTGCATCCGTGCCTGTGTGTGTGTCGTTTGTCTGCGCGTGTGTACTGCGCATGCGTATGCACATCTTTGTCTGTATTCCTCCTTCCCTCTGTCCCTACCTCCTTTCTCTCCTCTTTCCTTCCTTCTCCTCTCTCACTCCCTTCCCCTCAGTATTTCCCTCCCCCTCGCGCGGATAGTATCGCCCACGGCATCAGTTGCACGGCGAAAAGTTTTCAGCCTCAACTTCTTCACCCCCAAAGCCCAAAATAGGATTCTACGGCTATAATACGCGTTTATACACTCACGAAAACACACATACACACACACACACACTAACTAACGGACGCACACACGCGGGTATGGTCGCACGCACGCGTGCGCGTGTATTATGGGTGTAGATCACTAGATTCACATTTTGTGCCTCGGGGGGTGGAAAAGGTTCGGCTGAAATACGGTCATTTGGCTCGCAAACTTTTCACCGTGTTCTTGACGCCGTGGGCGATACCATCCGCAAGAGGGGACTCAGGGGAGTAAGGAATAAGTGATTACTTTTATTCACTGTTAATATTACTGCATGCCTGACACAGCAAATGAAAGGTCAGCATAAAGAACCGGCAATTGTTTATTATTATTATTAAATCTTTATGGCATGTAATTCAACTACAAATACACCTACTGAAGAGTCTTTTTCATGGATAAAACATCTGATGAATGCAATAGTGTTGAGCAGTTAAAATGATTAAATTTCTGAGTGATACATTGTGTGATACATAGTTCTGGGTGATACATGTTACATAAAAGCTTTACATATAACGTGAATGATAATATGAAACGACTATTGTGCACGCCGGTGATCGGCGAGCTATAGTGGCTGTTTAATCTGCTGTTGGCACTCGTGTAAAACAACTATTTTTACTTTATATATGAATCTAAGGTATATATGATGACTCTAAAAAGCTAAAACTACTTGTCACAGATTGTCCTCGAAAAAACACATTCCTTGAAAGGTCATTGAAAAAATAATTCACACTTGTGGGAACCACGTTAAAGAAAAAACAAAAGAAGTTTTTGAAAGAAAAAGTTGATTAAAAGTAGTATCAAAGGGCTGAATCCCCCCTGAAAGTGAGAATATTTGAGGTAATAAAACTTACATTCGTCGTTATTATATAAACAGAATTTATTACTGTTATAGTAACACAGATACACATAATAAATTTTCTAGAAGGCTCCAGAAACAATTGAATTTGGCCAATCTGAACAATAATACAACGGGTTAAAACATTAAATAACTGTGCTGAGTAAATACACTTTCCATGATAATTAGGTAACCGAAATTTAGTACCGGTACTATCGTACCCTATTCGGCATAACCATAGCTCGTATCCAGGACTAAAAATGCCTAGCCTGTAAGTTTCTCATAAAACCCACTCTACCACTAGTAGGCCTACTAGGACCACTAGTACTCTATAACCAAAACAGCTGTAGTGAAGATCAGTTTGTACAATCTTGTCATTTTACGCTATTTTACGCTAGTAATTTCTCTATACCATGCGTACTGCTAAGTTAAATGATGCCATGGGCAACTGCTACGGCTGCGTCATTTCATTATACACATAATGTGCTCTCAGTGTCACAGTCACTCATTATGTACATTACTCTTCCATGATAGTCAGTAAAGCTTGCACACCGTAATGTAAACCATACTTGCCCACTGTTCATATAGTAGCTGACTAACAGCACTTTAGTTACGTCACCGTCTTCTATTTGATATTTATACACAACTTACAAAACTGTACAATAATTATATTATGATAAATGCACTACAGTAAGTAGTTTAATATATATATATATATTTGTACAAGTTCATTAACACAATTAAGTCTTATCTTGTGCGACGTGGACACATTTTCATACACATAACTGTCAGTTACGGTTCGATAAGCCACACTGCTAAAATAGGCAACATATCAGGCACAGCAGAGAAGCATATTAAAATGACATAGCTGAGCTCAACTGGTTTTCAACCTGAAAGACAAGTGCCTCAAAATGAGGCACGTATTCAATTTTTAACGTTGAAAATTGAGACTGATCATGCCAAAGCAAGCGACGAAGTCCACGAGACACAATTATCAGCCTAGTGGTTGTAATGGGTGCTCTTCCCAATAAAATCGCGTTCAAAAATAATTAAAAGGGAGATCACTGCTAATTCCACTACTACTTCACCGTAAATTCTTTACTAAAATGCCTATATTTACAATTCTGTATGACAGGCGTTTCTGCCACAGTCCCAGGAACTAGAATATAACTAACTTAAGTGGCTGCCTTCGACTAACCTATGTACAATACTTGGTAATTAAAAGCATAGCTCGATCGTGTAGTGCATGACGGTGTGCAAGCATTTTGGAAGATTTTCACAGATACGCATGTAAACAGGCCTTTAAGCAAGAGAACTTGGTTGTTTGCATATCCACACTGGTGACAGAAAGAGAGGCTTCACGAAACGGCAGACGCCCCTGGCACCAGACAGTCACACGCAGACGTTACTATAGAAACCCATGAGAGTGTGCAGCCCATTACAGTATATATAGTAACCCCTGGTGGCTCTCTGCTCTCAGGAGAACAGTGTAAAACAATGGACGCCCTCCGGCCTGCACACACCCAGGTTAAACAACGTGGCTGTTTAGAAACTCCTGGCAGCACGCGGCCATCACTGCAGTAGATCTTGGCAGCATGCGGCCATCACTGCAGTAGATCTTGGCAGCACCCAGTCATCACTGCAGTAGATCTTGGCAGCACGCAGCCATCATAGCAGTAGATCTTGGCAGCACCCAGTCAACACTGCAGTAGATCTTGGCAGCACCCAGTCAACACTGCAGTAGATCTTGGCAGCACCCAGTCATCACTGCAGTAGATCTTGGCAGCACCCAGTCATCACTGCAGTAGATCTTGGCAGCACCCAGTCATCACTGCAGTAGATCTTGGCAGCACCCAGTTAGCAGCCATCACTGCAGGAACTCCTGGTAGCAGCCATCACTGCAGGAACTCCTGGTAGCAGCCATCACTGCAGGAACTCCTGGTAGCAACCATCACTGCAGGAACTCCTGGCAGCAGTCATCACTGCAGTAGATCTTGGCAGCACGCGGCCATCACTGCAGGAACTCCTGGTAGCAGCCATCACTGCAGGAACTCCTGGTAGCAGCCATCACTGCAGGA